AGTTTCTATTCTAGCTGGCAGTCCCATAATAGATATTAGAGTTTCCCTCAATTTTCCCATTTCTTCTACTAAATCATTTCTAGTTATAAACTCTGATTGTTGCCTCTGTTCCTGTTGAGCATTCCCAAAATAGATTCCCTTTGATCAGGGCGAATCTTAGCCTGACTCCTCTCAGGAATCTGACTCCTCCCTTGACCCCTACCCCTACCCCTACCCTTTCCACGACCTCTACTCCTTGAAGCATAGGTTGATGGATTAGCGGGAGATTCCTCCCTTTCTTCAGATACAGGGCGGGGAGTTCTCTCTAACCTTCATGATCGACTAGACATCTGCAGATATTTTAGTATTAAATATCACATATTCACATTCCCAAATATAATATGGTGTCCGAGTATAGGTATATACCATATTATATATGCATTTCATTTTGACTTACTACATATACATACTCTCATATATGCATCTACATTATGCACATAATTTTCATATACTAGCATGATCAAATGTAACAAATTTATCATGCTATCACATAATCACTTATCAAGTAATCACACATTAATTACCTTGGATGATAACCAGGATCCAGTTATCACAGGATTAGCTGTAAACCGATCACGTATTGAGCAGTTTTAGTCTTAAACCGATCATGTGTTGTCCAGCTTGTTTTAAATCGGACAGTCATGTGATGTACCCTTAACTCGATTATGGGTTGTCCGGATTAGTAAATCGGACAAAATGGACAAGTATTGTCCGGATTGTATATCCAGATAACTTTTATTTGTTAAACTTTCAAGTGTTAATTAATTTAGACACTTATATAGTTTAAAATGTCTATTATTGGGTTTAATTATGGATTCATAAAAGGGGTATTTTATAATTTTTATTAAATAAATAAAAAGATATGTTCCAACCAAGCGTGGTGACGTGAGTCTGTTTTGGTTTGGAACGAGATTTTTGGAAACTATTTCTACCAAGCATGGTGACGTAAGTCTGTTTTGGTATGAAACTATATTTTGTAAACCTTACTACCAAGCGTGGTGACGTAAGTTTGTTTTGGTATGGAATTGTGTTTTGTGAACTGTTTCTACCAAGCGTGGTGACGTAAGTCTTTTTTGGTATGAAACTTGTTTTAAGTAGTAGTTCCCCCAGATATGGTGACTTTTGTCTGTTCTGGCTTGGAACTGGGAATGGGTACTTTCAGATGTGGTGACTTATGTCTGTTCTGATAAGTGGCCCTGTTTTGATGGAGGAATAAAGGTGACATATCAAGGAGAGGTGTACTTGGAATAAGGGTGGCATTGTTATATGTGGATAATATTATAACTCTTATTATTGTTACCAATTGGATGTAATAACTTTGAGTCATCATTTCTTTGTGACCTGATGAATTAAAGATATTATTCGTATTAGAAATAATAATTTAGACGTTATTGAGAAGGGAAAAATGGTTTGTCATAACAGGCAAGCATTGCCTTAAATATTTTCTATTAATATTTACAAAGGAATGGTCTGATGATTCAAGAAGTTTTGATTACAATATTTGTTTCATATTGGGAACGTTGGATCTTTAAGCATAGGTATTTTATAGAACTGAGGTTCTTGGGTATATCCTATTTTACATGTTATTGTGAACTGCATCATTTATTTGTATTGCAAAATATTTCTAAGCAAAGTTACTTTATCATATTTTGGTGTTCATCACCCTGCATTTGCAAGGAAGGGATTTACTCACTAGACCCTTCTAGTCTAACCCTCATTTTTCGTCTTTAAAATATGCGATGCAGGAATGACGGGGTCCAGGGATAATAAGGGGAAAGGGAAAATGTGATTATTTTCCTAACTTGTTATCTGCTTTTGAAGATCTGTTTTTGATGACTTATTTTGAAGATACATGTTGTATTACATGTGTTAGTACTAGATTCGTTTTGGAATTTTTCATATGTAGATTTTGTACATATAATAATCCTTGTACTAGTGGGACCTTATGTTGTAAACTATATTTCTATGTAATGAAATATGTGTTATATGCAAATGTGGTGTTTGGGGGTGTTACACCAAATAACGTATCCTTTCATAAATGAGATTATTACATACCATATGCATTTCAGTTCAAAAGTTCACAATAAAATTCACATATGTTAATTTCAAACATGTATTCAAACATTGTAACACAATTAATGGTCATAATCCAACCATAACAAACCGGTATAATATCGAAATAATAACCATTTCATTATACATGCATTTCAGTTCAAAAATGGCTATAAGAAAACTCACCTTGATGATGATATACAAGGGATTTAAACTTTAATTGACATGAACGATCAAACCGAACACGAATCTGGATAAAGAAATTACGGATCACAATCTGAAGAAATAGACCCAACCATACTTCTAAACAATCCCTAAGGTAACTAAACTGTACCCGAAAGACCCTGAAACGCGAACAAAAATCGGAAAACGACCCAACAATGACTAACGCACTTGCCACATCGCGATAAAAGTCCCGTAGACTACTGTTTTCCTTCTTCTTCCCAGTTTTGATTCAGAAAAACTTGCACCAATTTAAATTTCTCAAAACCATTCAAAACCAAGTAAAAACTCATAAAAAAAAACTTCCTGTTATACCATAAATCAACCAAAACTTTTAACCATCATTTAACCTCATCACTTTCAAATATAAATAAATCACAAGTTCAAACCATTAAAAATTGAGAAACCTAGTTGATTAATCTTTCAAGAGAAAACTTTGCTCAAACTTAAAACTCAATTCAAATTCATGTAAAACCCCATATTTTGACCAATCACAAAATTCCAACCTTTCCATTTCCTGTGAAACCCCAATAACAAAACATTCTAAATTAACCAATCTTAAAAGCATAACAAAATTTGATGGATATAACCTTTCCATAAACAAAGAAACCTTAACTTTGGAGGAAATTTAAAAAAATTCTAAAAGAGAACGAAATCGAACGGAAGATCAAAATTCTTTCCTTCTTGACTTCTTCTTCTCTCGATGTACTCTCTAGGGAAAACACACTGACACACCATCACTTACTAAAGCTAGTGTTCGACACCGTGCGTTGCGCCGTGATCAAAACTCAGTTTAAGAAAAAATATAAAAAGCTTCAACCAGAGCGAAGTGCAATGTGTCTGAAAATCCGGGATCGTATTTATATTTATAACGCCCCATACAACACCGTAAATCATGATTTAGAGAATACTAACATCAGATGAAAATATGTCATTAAGTCAACACTTTGATTCTATGTATATATATTAAAGTGATATAGTAGACACTTAAACTATATTTGTTATTATAAGTACTGCAGTAATCATAACTCTTGTTAAGAAAAAAAAATATCATTTGCATTTGTTTTACACAATTTTTTACTAATTTGTTGTCATCATTTGATAAATACACCATTTGTTAAATACTTTATTCTCATTGCGTCATATCATCATCTTAAAGTTTTAAAAATGAAATATTTAACTATTATATTAAATATTTAACTATTACATGAAATATATTGTAATGTAAATAAAAAATAACTATTTAACCCAATTTTTGATCAAAATTTGGATATACATTCAAGTTATATCTTATCATTTATATAGTCACTTATAGAACCAACTTTTCACTTTTGTTTCCAATGTGGGACAATCAAAAATTCACCACAATCACCATTTGATAAATACTTGATTCTCATTGTGTCATGTCATCAACCTTGATTCTTCCTTTAATATATACTACTGTACCGCACTGCACGTTGCGCGATATTGAAAAAATAATTTAAGAATTCTTTTTATTGATTATTTTATAAATTTAATGTATTTGTTGTGTATAATGTAAAATACAATTACACTTTGACTTATATGGTATACATTTTAAAATATAGCGAAAAAAATATTACATTCTCATCATCAATCACCCGATTAATTATGTTATTTTTTATATAACTGTAATCCAATTATCTTAAAAATCATATATTATCTTTATTAACCATGTACAATAATATTTGATTATCATAGGGAACTATGATATAACTAATTTTATTATAAGAATATAAATACACACGTATACAATTCTATTTAAATCATGTAATACCAATCACCAAAATAACATTGAAAGTGCAGTGTTATGAAAAACTTCAAAAAACAAAATTAAATTATATGACATGAAGTGTTATTTGAATAATCCACGTGAATACCACAATTAAAATGTGCATCTTGCATTATAATTTAACTTCAAGGTTCTGCAACTGAAAACAAACAATATTAGTTAATATTAATTGCCGATGAAAAAAATGAGTAAACGAAATAATATAAAAATTTAAAGAGCTTATAATAAGTTTCATAGATTTTTACATTTATTCAATTGTAATTGGTTGGAGAGACGTTGTTAAAAGCTTCATGATAAACTATATTTTTTATCATGTTATGATCCTCAATTTCTTCATCAGCATTAAGTATGGTTAGCCCTTCACGTGATGTAACTCGAGACACCACAACATATAGTTGTCCATGTGTAAAAACCTATGAAAGATCATGATGAGGATTATGGTTGATTATATTGTAAACCATGTAATATAACAAACGTAACAAGAATAAAGTTTAGGATTTACTTGATTGGGAGGAAAAGTCCAACATGTTTAAGCGATTGGCCTTGACTCTTATTTATCGTCATGGCGAAGCATGGTGCTAATGGTAGTTGGCGGCGATTAAGCTTGAATGACCATTTTGAGTCGCTTGGTGACATTATGATTCTTGGGATTGTAACATTCTTGCCTGTATGACTTCCAGAAATTATATCTCCTCTAACAGACCATTTCCCAAGTAATGTGACAATCAATCGTGTTCCATTGCACAACCATTCTGTTTGATTGATGTTACGCAAAAGCATAACTGGAACACCAACCTTAAGATGAATGTCATGATTTGGTATCCCACTGAATCTCAAACTATTTAGAAATCCAGTTGGATAAAGAAGGTCATCATCATTAGATTACACATTGCCTTTTGCAAACATTGTCAGAACTAAGGTATGTCCTTCCTTCTCTCGGTATTATATCCATAATGCATTCATTTAATTCTTGCACCATATTATTTTTTGGAGTTAAAATAGCTCTTCCCGTAAGATACGAAGGATCATTATAATTATCTAATAGTGAGGGATAAACTACTTCAAGTATGGATTGTATCGGGTGCTCAGATTGTTCTAAACAAATGTCTGAAGGAAGCTTGAGCATTTCATCCTCAAAATTATCATAATATGATCCATCGTCTATTTGTAACATCCAATCATCAAATGCTTTGATGTGAAGGACTTCTGAGGGAGACACACTTTTATGTAGAAGGCGCATGTTTTGGTTAAGCTCGTACACTCGAAACAACGGCCACAAATGTGAAGAATTAAGTGATGCATTAACAATATCCAACCGAGTACCTCTTGGAATGACTGGCAAGATTTGACGAAAATCACCACCACAAACGACCGTTAGACCACCAAATGGCCTTGATTTGTTATCTTCATAACGGGTGCTCAGTATGTCACGTAGACTCTTGTCTAAAGCTTCAAAGCAATATTTGTGTGCCAGAGCAGCCTTATCAAAGAAGTTTTTTGAAGCAATTCAGCTAATTGTGTGCCATGACAGATCTTACATGTTGATTCTGCAGTTACATCTAAAGGTATACAGAATCTAGAATGAGCAGTCCTTCCATTTGGCAATAACAATGCTGCAATACCAGAAGAGGCTACAGGTAATACAATTTTTCCCTTTGATCTAAGTCTTGCAACAATTGTTTTCCAAAGGAATGTTTTCCTTGTTCCAACACGACCATGGATGAATATCAATTGACCAAGATCTTCGTAAATAAAATCCATAATAGCTTCATAAGCCTTGCTTTGACATTGGTTGAGCAATGAGAAATTGGTATCATGAACAACTCTTAAATCTTCACGATTGTAGTCGAGTTCTTCATTTACCAACCTATTTCGTAACTCGAGTAGTAATTGTTGATTTGGAAGTGGCATTCCATCAATTTCGTTCAAACTCTTCCCTATTTTCACCATGATTGACTCTATTTCGAACAAAGTATATGCTTCAAGTTCTGAGGCAGTCAATTTCAAGTTGTTGACCTTGAACCGTTTGCGCTGCATGATAGTTATATCTTTGGAGAGTATTTCATAATGTGTATTCCATAAACGAAGAGCGTCTGAAACCTGACAATGGGTAAGGATTGTCACAAACAAATGTTGTAACTTGTATCCAGTAGCCCAACTTGATGTTTCTTCCAAACAATCAATCCATTCACTATCATCATCTAACAATCCGTGTGCATAACATGCTCCCTTGTAAGTAGGGTGCATAAATCCATCTATTGTGCGTATGTCTTCAAATACAGTGCATCATTTGACAAAGTTTAATAGCATACACATGTAAAATCTTTCTCCAGTAGATGGATGGGTGAAGTACATCCTACCGATTGAAATGCCCTTTTTGCGTCTACTCGACACCTTGTCCTTAGAATTCCAAACCCATTCCATTTGGAATGATGAATAACTCTGTTGTCGAGCATCTTCATATTTTTTGTTTGTCTCAAACCATTCGGTGAACTTAGTTTTCCCAACACTTGGTCTTGCAATAACTGCCTCAAGATTAGTGTTCTCTTTAAATGTAATTGTATGTTCACCAGGTATATGAAAAGGTAATCGCTCAACTGATGGATATTTGTAATGGATGTCAAATTGGAGGATACGCCAACATGCTTCAGATGCAGATATGTATCTGCAATCTAAATATGTTTTAATTTCATCTCTTTCAAGACTTGTATCTGTCGATTGAAATGTAGCAGTTGCTCTATCAGATCCTTTGCGAATATATTTGAAGAGATATTGTATTGCTCTTGAATGATTGCAAACTTCGACATTGATGTGGGCATCAAACTTCACAATCAAATTTTTGTTGTGAGGAACTATGTACCTGTTGTTCAATTGATGGTTTTTTTGGTAACATAAGCACCTGTATCTCTTCTCCTGTATACTGGAAATCCATCTTAGACGATTGATGTTTGTCCAATAAATTTCTTTGGGAATTTTTTTGAACAAATACCTTGCACCATACATGGGGATCTTGAATAGAGATCTCCACATGGACCATGAATCATAAATTTGTTCACGACGTTAAAACCATCAGGATCAATATTTGCATCTGGAATCTCTGTAGTAATGATTCTATCAATATGCTCGCCCGACGGGTTTTTGGATTTGGAATCCAAAAATAATAATATATGCGCATGCGACAAGCCTCTCTTTTGGAATTCGATAGTATAAATACCTGAAAAAGCATGAAACCTCAATTAATTGTTAATGGTATGCATATTTCCAACAAAAAAAAATATGTTTTCTGTTATTTAATTTACAGGCGATTATGCTATCAAAATTTTTGGTAGTTTTCAAGTCTACATCAACTGTTTAAGCTTAATCTCAAACACTCTACATACAATATCCACTCTATTTGGATCATCCTTTTGTTGTACCATGTCGAGTGTTTCAGTTATCTCTGGCCATTTTGGGTTGCATGTAAATGTTAGTAATAGATCTGGATATCCAGCCCACTTACAAAGTGCCATAGCGTCTTGGTAATTCTAGATTCTTTTTCGAGGTCCGCAAGTATGAGTGGATGGTAATATAATTGATTTACCCAATTTCTTACCATCTGTATCTCCACAGTGTATAACATCCATTAATCCACGATATAAGGCAGTTTGTAACTGTTCTTGATTGTTATGTATCCACCTAAAACGACCTTCTTCAATTGCCATGTAAGCATCTACAATATATTGTTGAAGCAATCGTCCAGAGTGTAGTAAAGTGTGGCCTTCATGTACCCTTTGTTGTAATCTAAAGCAATAATATTGTCTCATCGTGACAAATTGTCTTTTGCTGGAAGATCCAGTCATGTTTTGTAGTTGAATATTTTCTCGATACCCATCTTCCCCGTAAGGGTGTATCTGTTAGATCCCATAATTTATAAGTGTAAAAGTAATGAAGAACAATAAGTGATGAAGAACCAGAAGACCGATGAAGACGTTAAGGCAGAATTGACCAAGTCTGAAGAACAACCAGAGGGTCGATGAACAACCAGATATGTGATGAAAAGAGCATCTTCATCACCCCTCTGGTCAACAACACTTAGAGTTTTCTTCAGCAATTCAACCAGAGGCATACGATGAAAATATGAAGATAAGGTTGAATCATCATCCCATGGAAGACAGCTAGAGACAACTAATCGACAGCTGGATTTCAAGTTTATCTTAAATTATAGCTTATCCATTGTTTAGATAAACTTTATCTGTTAGTAGAAGATTAGCTAAATAGTCTCACTAGATAGTTATCTTCTAATTAGCCTTCTAGKATAAATAGGTGATTAGGCCTATTGTAATCAACGTCGCTTTTACGTTTTTCTTATTGAATAAAGTGAAATCATTGGCACTCAAGATTGTTCTTTGAATGTTCATACATTGTTCTTGAATGTTCATCATTTTGTTCATTAAAACACTATAATTTGGTTATTCTTAACTTGATTATTAGTGTTATTGAGAGATCTGGGATCAACAATTGGTATCAGAGCCAACTGATTGTTTTTCAATCAAACGATCATCAAAAATCTCTCAATTCACGTTTTTAATAAAATATCTTCTCTAAAAACGTAATTTTTCTCTCTTCAAAAATCTTAATGGCCAACTGGAATTCCGCCTATAGTGTTGGTTCCCTCACCAAACCTCCAACTCTTCAAAGAGAAGAGTACCCACAATGGAGAATAAGGATGGTGAACTTTCTGGAAGAGATCGATAGAAATCTTCTGCGATCTGTCATGGAGGGTCCCTATGTTCCACAGACTCTTGTTCCAAGAGTCCTAGGAACAAATACCACAGCAGAAATCCATGCCTACTACATGCCCAAGGATGAGAAGAATTGGGATGAAGACGACATAGAACGAGTTGAGATCGACAAGAAGGCCAAAAGACTGATAATCATGGCCATACCCAATGAAATCTTCCAATCCCTTGATGCATGTTCCATAGCCAAGGAACTATGGTATGAGCTGGCAAGCCAATTGGAAGGAGGGGTAAAAACAAAGAAGAATCGTAGAGCCCAATGTCTCAACGAATACACCAACTTCAAGGCTCTTCCTGATGAACCGATTCAGAAGACATACGATCGTTTCAACACATTGATTAATCAATGTCGTTGAAATGATATCTCTAGAATAAAGGAAGAAAACAATGTTTTATTCCTTAAAAGTCTTAACGATGAATGGACACAGTTGTCGATGTCCCTTCAAGCAAATCATGACTTAGACGGCTGGTCATTCCATGACGTATACGGAACGCTTGCTGCACAAGAGAACGATATCATGAAGAAAAAGGTGTCCATCGGTCGACCCCTGTCTCTTGCAGCTGAAGAGAAGGACGTTTCAAGGACCTTCACCAGAGATCATAAAAAGAAAGGAAAGAAAGCAATGATGGTAGAATCAGAATCTTAAGACGAAACTTCTGAATCAGATGATGATATTAAAGCCTTTGCCAAATCTCTGGCCTTGATTACAAAGCAGTTCCAGAAAAAGTTCATCAAGAAACCCTATGAACTAAAAGAATTGAAGAGGGAAATGTACCAGTCATCCTATGAAAGGAAGCCATCTAAATTTCATCAGAGGGAAGACAGAAGAAACAGAAGAGAAAAGAGAGAAGAAAGAAGAGAAGAAAGAGGACAAGGATGGAAGGAAAAATGACCTCTACTGCTTCAGGTGCGGAAAAATCGGTCATTTTTCCAAAGAATGCAGAGGACGACTGGGAAAGGATGTTGATTATTACAAGAATAAATACAAGTATAATTCTAGAGAGCGAAGCCTGATGGCTAAGAAAGAAAACTGGGTGTCTGATTCTTCATCCGATGAAGAAGACAAAGCACTCATCTGTCTGATTGCCACGTCCAATGCAGAATCTGCCTCTGACACTGATGATCAGGTATGTTAATCTACTATCAATGAAACCAACTCCGCTCCATCTGAGCTAGAGTTAAGGGTGATAAAACTTTTAGAGGATTTCTTTAAATTGAAAGAAAAATTAAATTTTGAAAAATATGAAAGAATAAAAGCGGAAAAAGAAGCAAGTTTCAACAAAAGTGTTAGCATCAAATTGATGCTAATAATTATCTTAAAAAGTTTTATTAAGCAATCTGGGCTAAGGGTGGATCATCWGAAGATGCTTCTGTGCCAAAACGTCTAAGTCTGGAAGAAGACCAGCCGCTGCGCTAAATCAACCAAGTATGGACGACCAGAGCCTCTGCAACCAGAACCATAGCCTCTGTGAAGTGGACCAGAGCCTTTGTGAACGACAAAGACACCAGAGCCTTTGGTTGTATTGAACCAGAGCCTCTGGAGGACGTGCCTCTGGAGGAACAGAGCCTCTAGAGTAACAGAGCTTCTGTGGTCGTCTATCCTCTGGTTTATTCTCTGGTCCTTCAAGACGACTATCTTCATAATCATATTCTGGATAAGGATAATCCTATTCTGGATAATACTTATCTTATTCAGATTATCGTGGATTTCTGCCTATATAAGTAGTGTTTCAGGTAGAGAAAAATATATAAGAGAGGAAATAGAGAATTCATTGTAAACACATAGATTCAGATACATCTTATGAGAGTCGATTAGGGTTCTTGAGAGTTTGTAATTTTCCATTCAATAAAGAAAACGCCGACGGTTTCTATTTTATCTTCTTCTTCTACAACTCTCTCTTGATTTCCTTTATTAGATTGTTCTACTGTCAGATCTGGGTTATAACAAGTGGTATCAGAGCCAAATCGATTAACTTCTATCGATACGATCTTTCTGGCAGTAGATTCAATTTTCTTGAAAAATACTCTCATGAACTGCTTCTTGTTCGATTGCAGTTTGGTCCCAAAAACTCTGATTTCATCATATACTTAAATGTCTATAGAGTTTATTGGAGTCAGTCGACTTATTGAACCTTGATTATTGTCAAATCTACGCGTATGCGTTTAGCAAGAGTTCATGGTACTCACAGCCTAAGGCAATTGGTTTTTTATTTGCCAAACATATATTTATCGCCAATATCTTAAGTATTCTTTCATATTCTCTTTTTGTGGATTTGAATCTATAATAGCTTAAAGTTTTTCTTGCCTGTTATCACCATTCCTACACTGTTTATGGCAATTTCCTTTCTGTTTGCCCTTAGAAGCATTAACAACAATTCTGTCAATTTTCTTTGAATTGACCTGCTGTTTCTTGAAGTCATAAAGCTTAAATGTTAAATCTTCTCTCCGGTTCTTAATTCCAATGGTGCTTGCTTCGGTTATTCAAGATTATCTCCAATTGAATCAAGCTCTAAAACTGAATTCCTACTCAACTTGCGGTTCAATGAAAGTTTCTTTGTCATAAGACTGTTTGCACTGTTTTGTCAAGTAATTCACACATTTATTTATCCCTTTTTGGATGAATTTGCTACTTTTAGGGTAAGTGGCTATTCCATGCTTCAAAGAATATGTTGGATTGTGGGCAGATTAAAGTTGCATCTTGTGCAATCAGTGGTGCTGCATTCACATTGAATCTGTTTTGATCCAAGAGTTGAAAATGAAGAACACAGAGCTACATTCTGGGGGGAGCTTGAAATTTCCATCCATATCAAGCATACTAAAGTTTTTTTTAAGAAAGCAGAGGGGAGAAGACCTGAAGACTTCATGAAGATGCTTGCTTCATAAAACTTTGGGGGGAGATTGTTAGCATCAAATTGATGCTAATAATTATCTTAAAAAGTTTTATTAAGCAATCTGAGCTAAGGGTGGATCATCTGAAGATGCTTCTGTGCCAAAACGTCTAAGTGTGGAAGAAGACCAGCCGCTGCGCTAAATCAACCAAGTATGGACGACCAGAGCCTCTGCAACCAGAACCAGAGCCTCTGTGAAGTGGACCAGAGCCTCTGTGAACGACAGAGACACCAGAGCCTTTGGTTGTATTGAACCAGAGCCTCTGGAGGACGTGCCTCTGGAGGAACAGAGCCTTTGGAGTAACAGAGCTTCTATGGTCGTCTATCCTCTGGTTTATCCTCTGGTCCTTCAAGACGACTATCTTCAGAATCCTATTCTGGATAAGGATAATCCTATTCTGGATAATACTTATCTTATTCAGATTATCATGGTTTATTGCCTATATATAGTAGTGTTTAAGGTAAAGAAAAATGTGAAAAAAGAGAGGAAATAGAGAATTCATTGTAAACACATAGATTCAGATAAATCTTATGAGAGTCGATTAGGGTTCTTGAGAGTTTGTAATTTTCCANATGAGAGTCGATTAGGGTTCTTGAGAGTTTGTAATTTTCCATTCAATAAAGAAAACGCCGACGGTTTCTATTTTATCTTCTTCTTCTACAAATCTCTCTTGATTTCCTTTATTAGATTGTTCTACTATCAGATCTGGGTTATAACAGAAAGAGAGACTGACCTTCTAACCGAAGAAAAAGCCGAACTTGCAAAGGAGAAGACTCGCATCACCACACTTAAGAAATCAGAGGAAGAAAAACTTCTGGAACTAAACAAACGAATAACTAAGGACTTAGAAAAGAAAACTAAGGCCTTAAAAGAATCCGAAGCAGAGAGACTAAACTCAGTTGCTCTTAAAGATTTCTTTCAAAAGGAAAGGGTGATCCTTCACCAGAAGCTTCAAACTAATGAACTTCTGATGAAGAAGTATAAAAATGCCCAAGATGTTTATGAAAAGTTAAACGGTCAAACGGACACTCAAGGAATTTG